AATATTGATTTTGCACATTTTTCTTCCATACAGAAAAGTCTGATCGTGATTATGAACACAAAGTTGGATATTCATTGAAAGACGATGTGAAGGAATCAGTTGTTGGAACATTTAGTCATCTTTCATTGGACCATTGTGCTTCCAAATGCAATTCGAATCCCGACTGTTTTACTCTTGAATTTTGTGAAACAATTGGATATGATTCAACCTTTGATTCATCCTTTTCATCATCCTCTTGTAGATTAACTAATTTAAAGTCAACCAGCGTTGTTAATCAAACTCAATTTTTTGAACAGTCAAAAGATCCTAAAAAAATTTGCTCAATTTTCATAAATCACATGAAAATAATAGCTAAAGATAAATCTAAAGAATCATCACCATCCACAATGAAATCAAATCATTTCAATTTAGCCATTGGAACGGGTGCAGCTATATTCATATTATCTTTAGCTGGTGGATTCGTTGGATTTACATTTGCTTCCAGGAAAGGATTAGTTTAAAAGATTACTGAAACAACTAATTTAACTTATTCTAGAAAACAGTAATGTCGAAAAAAAGATTCATTTAGATTAAAATTAATTGATTGTGTAACATGTTATGTGAAAATTGTTATTCAATGTTATTTATTAAATATTATTTGATGTATGTTTGTTTGATTAAAATATCATAGATGGAGACTGCGAAAAGTTGTTTTGACAGAAAGAGTAAAGGAATGCAGTGGGTAATGTTATGATGGTCCCTTCAGGTAAATGAATGATTTGAGCTGCTGCTTTGAGAGGGAGGCTGGAACAAAGAGAAACAAACTGAAATTTTATTGAGTGAGTTTCTTTAGATCAGGTTGGTTGTAAAACTTGGCTTCTGCATTTAAACTCTTTTTCTCACATTCATTTTAATATATTGTTGTTCAATTTGGATATCTTTTTGTTACTAATTAATGTCTGATTTACCTGGTGGTGTTATTACAACTCACTGTGTTTCAACGGTTGTTCGCCCTGGAAGCAAACAGAACCATGACCCTCTTCAGTTCGTTAAAATCCAATCGACTGAATTAAGCCAAAAAGTAAGTTGTTCAACTATGAGTTCGCCATGAGTTTCTTTTTTTTCTTGTTTGCTCATTGATTTGCATTTTTAGTTTATTTTTATTTCTTCTTTGGTGTTGACAGTTGTTAAAAATAATTTTATTTTGTTTCCCCTACAGGCTGTTGAACAGATTCGCTTAGCTGAAGCTGTTAAGATTACTAAGGAAAAGATTAAAGAGGTTGAAGAAGAATGGCAAAATAATCTTCTCAACTGGAAATCCAAGAGAAGACAATCTCGGTTGACTGGAGGGGAAGAATCGGATTCTGGTGATAATCAACAGCGAAAAATCAAAACATTTTCCGAAATACTCAATGAGAAAGCTAAATCTGGTCAGCGGATAGGTTACAATTTGCATAAATATATCGGAATGCAGGATGAAGAAGAAGAAGAGAATCTAGTTATAACCAACAATAACAACAATAACAACGATAAACGAGGTACAGGTGTGACAATAGAAGTGCATTGTGACAACCATTTGCATTATTTGAATACGCATTGTCAGCTTACTAAACTTGTTTTTTTTCTTATTTACTTTAGGGTCTTCGAGATTTTCCAATGGTAAGAATGGTTCAGGTGATTACCTAGAAGATGATGACTCTAATCAGTTTAAAAACTATGAGCAACAACAAGCTGAGTTGCAGAAAAAAAGACAAGAGTTGAATAATAAACTTCAAGAATTGGAACAATTGGAGAAGAAACAAAATGAACTAGAAAGACAAGAGAGAATAAACTCTCCATCATCTGAAATATCATCACCATCACCTCAACTTTCAAGCAACACTTCGGAAACAGCACGTAATGACTCTCCTACCGTGATTGTGTCAATTGAAAATAAAGAAAGGCAAAGTAATCTTTCGACAGCTAATGTGGCGAAAAACTGTGAAATAAAGCAAAAACAAAATGACGGTTATAGTGATAAAAAAGTGTTCAACTTTAACTCATCATCATCTGAATTAACAAAACGAGAGGAATATAACTCAGTTAGTTCAGCTCATGAAAATCGTCAAAAAAGTGTTTGGAATTATCTTTTACAGCAACAAGATGACCCAAGAGTTGTCCACCATTCTCATATTGATCCCAACTCAGACATGAACCAACCTAATCTCAGACCAAATAGTCAATATATCAATGCTGATTCAGAGAGTGATGACGATCATCTCAATGATAGTATGGATGCCGATGAAGCTGCTGAAAAGGAACAAATGCTTTCTTTCCGAGCCAAATTATCCACCTTTGAAAGTTTATCTAAAAGTGACGCATCAGCTCAACAGCAACCCTCCAAACAAGTTAAAAAATCTGAGAAAGTAAAGAGAACTGCTGATCAGATTACATCTCGATTATTTCCAACCACAACATCAGCCAATAGTTGTTCACCATCATCCTCACAAACCTCTTCATGTACCACACTTTCCGCTGCTGCTACACCAACAGTTTCAATTCAAAATTTGAAAGACTTGGAAAACAATTCTGTAATTAAAAATAGACCTCCTACCGTTGAAGATCTCGCTCATAAAGAAGAAATGAAAGTGTTACAACAAAGATTACAAAATCAAAATATTGGCGAACAGCAAAAGCATTTTCATTCAACCCAACAACCAACTTTACCAGTAAACTCAATTAACCAAAATTCACATCAAAAGCTTCATCCTATCCAACAACAAGCCAATCTGTAAGTAAAACATCATTAGTACCAAGAGTTCATAAGAATCAATAAACAAAGTTCATGTTGACTTGTTGATAAAAAAAGCAAATTTACAAATTATTAGCAAGTACCATTACAATATTTAGCTTTTATCATTTTCTCCCTGTCAACTGATTTCATTACCGCAAAATGGGGAAAATGAATACTTTCACTTCTATTCATTGAAAGAAAGGAAGAAAAAAAAATAGAAACGATAAAAGAAAATAACCTTAAATGTTATTCATTTCGCTCCATCCATCGTCATGATGATCATGGTAGCAGACATTTAATGTTTTGAAAGTTAGAACCATTAAATTCACTGTTATAAAATGCAGTTTCCGCTCTATTACACTATTCCTTAATTTATCTTTCATCTTATAGACACAATTGTTTATTTTGACAATTTTGCCAAACCATTTCTTTCCTTTTTTTCATCCTTATCGTCATCATCATCATCTAGGGATCAAACACAAATGATATCACCTTTAGTTACCATGTCAACTAAATAAGAGACAAATGCTCAACAAAGAATCAATGACATGGAACAAAGTAGCTCATTGAACGCTTGAAAATTGTAATTTACCATCGCTTTACTCATATCCACATCTTTCCCTCTCTTCCATCTCTATGGTCGACCAATGACCGGATTATTGATGTACCTTTACCTTATGTTGTATAAGGTTTTCCTGGTTGTGACTCTCATTAATCCCTCCACCCTTACAACTCACTATTCATAATAAATATACATATATATTTTTATATGAATTTGTGTGATTAACCATCAACCGAATCAGCAAAAAAGTATTGCTAAGCAATTGAAAGGAGAAACTCGGAGAGAAGTTACTTGATTTCCTTTTAAAACAACATTTTTTCATCTTACAAGCAAAACCTTATAAGGTGTATCTATTTACTCTCCTCTCCAGTTTCCTCTTTTTACATATCTTCCCTCTCTCCCTCCTCCTCCTCCTTTCCCTATCATCTCTGTGGGTATCCCTGAAACAAGCTTGAAACACGATTTTTTCCCTTCCATAGTTAAGAGCTAAAATTATTTCTTCCTTAGACTTTTACTTTTTCCTCTGTTAACCTTTTACTTGGAAGTGAGTTAAGAAAAACATTCTTCAAAATGTAATCAATGCTAATAATCGCCCAATTTTCAACCTTTTTCATCATTTCTCGTGAAAATTGCCTTTAGCTATTCACATTTTACTTAATCTCTAATTTGTGCTGACACTTTTTACCTGATGTGGTTGATCATATCTTTTTTTCATGGGTCCATCCCTCACTCCTCCACTTGAACCTTGTCCAAAAAATCTTTGTATTGTTTAATGTTTGAAAGCTCATCTTACATAATTTATGATAATTCATTGTATCGAGTAAATCTGCGAGAAATGAGAAGCTCTTAAACTCTGAACAAAAAACAATGTGAAAGTTGTTCATTAATCATTTATCTACTTCTCTACTGGTGAAAAACAAATCAAGTTTACTAGGTAAATGATTAAAACAAACACTGAAACACTTTCACAATACAAATGTGTGCCTTTTTCATACCCTATCGTGATTTAAAAATGATGCTAATGTAAACCGGAAAGTCAATTTTGCTCAAGGCAATTGTTTTATTCATTAATTTTACCTTTTCTATGCAACAGTCAACTTGAATATCTTTATTTGATTGATTAACTTATCTTAACATTAGTAAAAAATGGTCAAAATGAGTTTACTTTGTTACACTGAATTTCATTCTTTGGCTTTTTCGCATTCAACATTTGAACATTTTTATGGTGATGGTTAATCAAGAATACAATTTATTGTTTCAAATTCTGTATTACAATTTTGTTCTAAATTCATTGTGCATAGTTAATGTAATCATTTACTTCCTATTCTTCGTCTTCTCAGTCTTGAAATTCCTTCCAAGACTCAAGTTTAACCAGTAAAATGGTAAAATTAATTCAAAACAACACAAAAGATGAACAAACAATTTGGTTGCTTTATTTTTAAGGCAATTGACCGTTTCATGTTGACAGACAAAAGGTTGACTCTAAATGACCTGTCATTGTTTTTTCCCGTTAAAATGCAACCAAATTATCTTGAAAACATTATGAGCATTTTGTTCAATAGGAATGCAAATGTCGATGACTTTTAAAGATTTCAGATTCTTCCTTATTCTTGATTTTCACTTGAACAATTTGTCTTTAATTTTGTCATTTTTATCATTTTATCATCTCTTTAACCAAACTTTCTCAACCTTAGCCCTCTTACCTTGAATCACAATCAAGTTTCTCAATTAACTAGGTGTGTTTGTGGGTTAAATCCCACAACTGGAGATGATGGTTAACCAGATATGTTTCATTCTCAGATTAATTGAGATTCCTATTTCAAGTTGTCATTTTTATCATCTAAAACAATGGCTCTTGAGTTAAAATGTATTATTATCCAATTGTAATTTAGACAACTTTCAATTATCTTGAACTGAATTATTCGGTGTCACATGTTGCTTGTCAATGATACATTTACCTTTTCCAAGTCTGTCTACTTTAAATTAACTTGTTGCCATTAATTGAATGAGATGAGAAAATTAAATCAAAACATTGTTTTCCATCATTATCATCATCATCGCCATCAATTGGTGTTTATTTGAGTTACACGGGTAATCATCACGAAGTTGAAATCATGTTAACCACGACCTTTCTCTCGCTTTATAAGCTCATCTTTCAATTTGATTATCGTGATTTACTTGCATTTCAACCTAAATACCTGGTTAAGGATGAGAATGTCTTTTAATCTAAATCACCCACCAAAAACACTGTCAGAATAACATTCAAATTTAAGGTTGGATGTTCCACGATCTTTAACTTCTCACAGAATTTTCATCTTACTTTCATTACTTCTCAATTATTCAATTTAATTTTAATTCCCAGTCAACAATCAAGTCTGAAGTAGCGATTTAATTAAATCTTGATACAATCCACAGTTTAATCTAACCTTCATTCAATGTTTCTCAGGATTGTTTAAAACATCAGATGACATCAGATGTCTATTAAGTAAAGGAAAAAATAACGTTTTTAATGTAAATTACGATCGTTTTGATAAATTGTTTAACTTGACAAATTATGTTCACAATTTAATCCCAATCACTATTGAAATAAACGCTCTGTCTTGGTGAAAAATTGACTTCCGTGTCTAAGAAAATGAAATTTGGGAAAATAGAAACCACCTGAAAACTCTCATTTTGTCACTCTCATTGTCATCTTGTGTGTCTAGTCATCATTATCATTCTTATCATCTTCATCTTTTAAATTGAGTTGTAAAAGTAAAATGATGAAAAACTTTCAACCTTGTTCTCTAATTAACTATTTTTCTTTCCCAACTGGTTAACCATTTTCCCTGAAACTGTTTCAGATTCATTTACACTTATTGTTTTGTCATGAAAATTCAAATTGTTTCCCAAATCATCAACTGGTTAACTGTTGATTAACTAACACTTTATTGTATATAAATAAAAGCCATTAACTTTTCAATCTATCCTTCCTTTGCTCCATCATACATTTCAATTACTATCACAATACTTGGATATCATCAAATGAATAGATGTATTCAATAGCAACAAAAGTTGTTTATCCTTGTCAGCTGTTTCATTGATTCAATTGTGTTACTCTTATATTGTTTATCGGCATTTCATTTCATCATTAACTAATTTTTATTTTTCCATTTCAGAGATAAATCATGGAACCAGAATTCACCTTCTCATTTACCGCTAAACCAAATGTCCAAAGTCTGCAATCCTCAAGTTAATAATAGCAATAATAGTCTTGTTCACCCTCATCAACAACACCATTACCATAGTAGGACCAGTAGTGAAGAGACTCGTGAGTCTAGTAGCACTTGGGAAACATCAAATTTTGTCTGTGACAAGGAAGTGGAAAAAATTTCTGAACGAATGAACAGAGGAAATGTGATTCCAGCTGAATTTGGTGGAAATGGTCATGAAACCATTACTTCAACCTCGGTACATTACAACAACTCTGGTCCACCTGGTTTACCGGCAACCTCAATGAATCAACACTATCACAGTTCATCTCACCTTTCCCATCCTCATCTACTTCAACAACAACGGTCACAGTATGGCTATGATCAGGTTAAAATGAATCGACATTCAGTGCCAAATCTAAACGGTCCTGGGAAGGAGGATATGATCAGCAACAATATTACTTAATGAATGAAATTATTGGTGATAATCAACAAATGTTAGCACACAACGGAATGTTAATAATACCCATAATCCAGTTGCAAA